GGTACTGAGCAGCGCGGGGTACTGAGCAGCGCGGGACTCTGAGCAGCGCGGGGTACTGAGCAGCGCAGTACTGAGCAGCGCGGTACTGAGCAGTGGACGGTACTGAGCAGCGCGGGGTACTGAGCAGCGGACGGTACTGAGCAGTGCGGGGTACTGAGCAGCGCGGGGTACTGAGCAGTGGATGGTACTGAGCAGCGCGGGGTACTGAGCAGCGCAGTACTGAGCAGCGCGGTACTTAGCAGCCCGCAGTGACTCCAGGGCAGACATCCCAGGCAGTGTGTCTAACGAATGCTTTTGACGTGTACCCTGTGTTTCTTTAAGAACGAGCGCGGTCATGAGGCTGTGGACCATAAGCAGAAGGTGGAGACCATCATTAAAAACCTCAAGACCATCTCTAAGGAGGTGAGGCGGATGAAAGGTGAGCCTGGAGTCCCTCGAACACCCGCCTGCCGGATGCAGAATCGATGATGGCGCTCGCGCCTGCTTCCGCTGCATGGTCCCCCACTGGTTAGGATTGCTGTATTACGCCAAGTTGCAGTGCCGAGGAACGGGCATATGAAGATGGCCTAAGAGTTAGCAGACCTGATCCTACTCCAACGCTAGCAGGCTCCCACCAGGCCACCTAAGCCATGTAATTTACATGGAACCAAACTATGACATGCAGTGTCTTTATCCATGAACCCTTACTAAGCCCCCAAAGTTCACTTTGAAGGAAGAACTAGAATTATGTCAGCATGTGGGTTTTTAAACATTCATGGAGTAATAGTAGGCCTTCTAGGACCTGGCACTTGGTCACTCCACTCATATATGCATTGTTAAACATGCAACATTCTGTAAATTAAATACTCTCAGAGCCGATCCATCCCTGACCAAACACGGAAGTGTTGGTGAGCTCCCTGGTTTGCCGGAGCTCTCAGTCTCCCCTGTTGTGTTGGGCCCCTTCCCGACCAGTCCCCAGGTGACGTCTGGGGCCCCACTGCTTCATCTCCAGGCCCTCTTTCTGACTGTGAAAACGACCCCAAGTGTCTAGTTACTCTAAGAACACCATGTGGTTATCGTAGCTAGCCTCGACGTGGAGACCTTCACCTAGCAGTAACCAGATAACAACCTTACCACATATTCCTTATGCAGTCAGGAGCAGCAGGCCCCAGCCCAGGTTCACAGTCACGGCTCCAGTCATGGCCTCCAGGGGCCCTACAGCGCCCCTGCCTGGTCTCCTTACCCCAGCCTTTCCCAGGCTTTGGCACTTTCCCCCTCCCTTTCCCTGGCCAGATATGTTTCATGGGAGGAAACGCCCAGCAGACACAATCAAGAGAACTGCCAGCACCAGTGTGGACCCCTCAGGATGAGGTGCTGTACCTGAATGAAGATTTTCTTTCTAAAATGTAAACCTCTGAGAACCTTCATTAGTCCACTGTTATCTCTAGAATAAGTCCAGCACGCCTAGAATGCACTGTGCAGACACATACAGAGTGCTTTGTGTGCTCACGATGCTTTTTTGTGTGTCTGAACCTTACATACATGTTCTGAAATCCCACCGCTGTAATCCCTACCAGGTTAACAATGCCTTACTAGTTGACTAGGTCACTTCCACTGGGAACATTTTGAGCTTGGAATGTTTTCCCTTCTGCCCATAGATATTATCTCTTAGCACACTGTGTTATAATTATATGTTTACAGCTTTTCTGTCCCTGCTCAATGGAACTCTCCTTAAAGATATTCCCAGCACTTGGCACAGTGTCTTCCTATAAAAGGTTCTTGGAAAATGTTTATCAAACTCAGTTGTCTGGATGTTTGAATTGGTTTTAAGTAGAGAAGCATTAGATCCAGTTTTGATTGTCGAGTTGTTGTAGTTTGGCAAGTATGTCATGAAGTAAAATCATAATAAATGTGGTAGATATACTCCTGAAGAGCTGTGTGGGTCCCTCAGGAAGTTAGAATATCAGGAATTTGTAGAACAAGACTAGAAGGAAAACTGGTAAATATGGAGGATTAAGCAAACACTCCCCAAATCCCTACATCCTCCCTAAATACTAATGTCCAGGCTTAGCGGAATAAAAAGGACAGTCAAGATTCTGGAGAGAAAATGGGGATGGAAAATTACTTCGTATCCCATGAGACCTCTCAGTAGGAATACTAAATGCTGGAAGATTCTGCAGCCACGCCTTTGGAAGTCTGAGGAAATGGGATTTCCAGCCTGAGTGTTAAGGCTAGTGAACCTTCAAATTGAGCATTAGCAGATAGAAGCTTTTAGATATATAAATCCTCTACCTGGGACAAACTGAGGCTATATCCCACCAAACAAGGCAGCAGACCAAAAGAGAAACGCGTAGGAATTGTGGAGTAAGAGCACCCGTACCAGCCCTCAAGCCCTCTTCCCCATTGTCCAGGCACTGCCGTTACCAGGGTGATGAGAGGGTAGCTTGCTAACAGTCCCTAAGAGCTGTTAGTCCAGAGGGACAACTCACTCCCACTATAGAAATGCCCACTCCTACTTGAGAAACGTTCAACCAATGAAAAATAATCCAATTACTAACTGACTGGAGTAGCTTGCAGGAAGGGGCATGTTGTGTGTTACATAAGACCCAGCTTTGAAGAGTAAGTCACAATGGGGTCCACTTAAGTTGCGATTTGATCAGTGGTCATCTGGAAACAAACTTAGAAACAGCCATTTAAAGAGAGAATACAAGGCACTAGAGTACCTCTTTCTGTTTTCTCAGAGCATGCTCAGTTACTGCTTTGTGACCTGACTGTGCAGCTGGAGCAGCCTTTGAAGACAAAGCACATAAAGGAACCAAAAGAACCCAACAACTCCGTCTGACGTTTCCCATCACCGTTTTATTGTGCTGACTTTGTTACTAAGCTAAATAGCTGAATGATTGAGTTTACCAATACACTTCTATCATTAAAAGAGTTCTGAATAAACGCTTCATATTTCTGAAGGCTGTTCCGTAGTAATTTAATGTGTTACTACACGGTGGCTGATTTACTTCCCTGTTGGTACAAGTGTGCAGGACGTGGGAAGTTTGCCATGGAACCTTTGTTGCCTTTTTACCTTTAAACTAACCAGAACTTCAGTTAGCAGGTACCAAACGCCAAACGCTACCAGCTCTAAAACACTTGGTCATGTGACTTAGATTTCAGGGTCTACTGGGTGTCTGAGGTCTGCCCTCACAGACCTGTTTGCTCCACCTGGGGCTAGATGGGAGGCAGCACCCAGCTCCAGGTTGCAGTGCCTTGAGAGGCCTCCAGAACGAGACATCCTGTGTCTCCACCCGTGTTTAACATTTCACAGAGGGCCCCTGACTGCCCTGTGCCACATGGACTGGTACAGCGGTGGTCCGAAGCCTTCGGTTAAGAGAGGTGGGGCCCAGCCAGAAGGAGGAATGGAAATAAGACACTGTGATCCTTCCAAATAATGCCAGTTTGAGAAGGATGAACAGAACGGGCCTATGGCAGAGTTGGGGATTTGAAAAATAGGGAAGCAGCATCCCCATCAGACCCACATGTAAAGGTGTGGTTCCAAACAAGGTACTGTTGGGAGATGCTGATACCGTCAGAGTAGGCTCAGGGTTCAAAGCCAGGTGAGGGAGGGCACTTCCGATCTCTGTGTGTGCCGTCCTCTGCCAGGCTCCTCTCATGAAGTACTCTGCCACCAAAGCACCAGGGCCACAGACGGTGGACTCGGCACAGCAGTACGTAACAGGAAAGTGATGGCCTTCCAGGGCCCCAGCTCTGGGCCTGTGCCACAGTGGAGCTGTGGGGGCGGGGAGAGCACCCTCAAACCAGGGCGTTGACACCAAAGCGGCCCCTCAGTTTACAAGGCTTCTCAGTATTTGTGGCTTTGCTTTAAAACAAAAAATAGTATGGACTAAATAAACCAAAAACACTAGGAAGCTATCCCAATATGCATTTATCTTGTCATAAAAAGTATACAAAAACTTCTCCAGCTAAACAGATTAAATAAGAAGAAGCCTCTTAAATGACTGCTGCTGAGAAAATGTTTTAGCAATTTTTAAGTTGTAATTAACAGAATGATTCACCTGTGAACCGGTGCCGGTGGTTCACACTTAAAATCTTAACTACTCAGAAGCCTGATATCTGAGGGTCTTGGTTCAAAGCCAGCCCAGGCACAAAAGTCCCCATGAGACGCTTCTCTCCAATTAGCCACCAAAAACACCGTAAGTAGCTTAAAAGTGTAGAGCACTATCATAGCTCACGGACAGTACCCAGGCCCTGAGTTCAAGCCCCACGACTGACAAAAAAAATCACCTATGAATGACACAGGTTTGCCTATTTAAAACAAAATTTAAAAACCAGCTTTACGTGATACAAAAAACTACTGTCACAGCATTTAAAGACCCCAAACTATGTCTGCAGCTATGTTAAACTGTATTTTGAAAGTGGTATGCAAAAATACCTTTAAAAATACTATACCCCGTGTTTTTTGAAGTACTGTCAGGCAGCACTATGCACCATGCTCTATCAGACTGCGGTGTGTTCACCCCTTTTTGCATTGTATAACCACTAAAAATAAATTATAAGATATTTCCAGTCTTCAAACATTTTATGGAAATGGAAAATAAGACACCTCTTGAGTTCACGTGTTGAGGGTCATTTCAGTCCCAAGTGTTCGTCCAATCACGAGCAAGAGGAAAGCTTGTCTGCAGGGCTGGCTGGCTAGCGGTACCCCGCAGCGTGTGTCAGTGTGCACTGGTATCTGGAGCCTCGGTTCTTGCCATCGATGAGCAGGAGCGGCATCTTCCGGAAGTAATCGATGATGTGTGACACAGAGAGGAAGTCCTGCAGGAGTGAGAATAGGGAGGCGTAAGTCGGCACCAGCCCCGAGCAAAGGCCTCTCCAGGCCTGCGACACCCTATCCAAGCCACAAACACCGGGGTAGGGGGCAAAATACGTCCAGTCTGGCAAATGTCTTCAGTGATCGGTGCTACAGAAATTCCCAACAAATCACAGAGAGAAGACACTTCAACTTCAGATAAAGGATAACAGTGCTGATGCCCTCGCCTCGGGCTTCTGTTTGTTTCTGTCTGGGGTTCCGAACATTTTGTGTTCCTTCTTCACTGCAGCCGGGAGTAGAGTTGAGAGGAGCAGCTATTGCTCACCCTGCCAGGAAGTGCTGTACAGCATGGCAGTTGTTTCCCAAGAGCTCTCCTGGGTCTCCTTGGCCACCTCCCTGTACCAAGCACGTACCAGAGCCTGCCGCTCGGCTGCAGTGAGAATCGTGCGCGTGCTCTGCTCACCAGCCCTCTGCGGAGGTATTTGGACTGTGGATACGTGTGACTTGTTCCTTATCCCGGAGGCGACCCCCCCCAAAAAAAACAGCACAGTGGGGACAGGGCCGAGTCGTCACTCTCCCCAGGGAAAGGCAGTGCTGAGGGGTTTTCCACGTGAATGCTGACTACCATCCTACCATCCCATAACTTGATTAGGATGAGAATATAAGCCTAAGCCAGACAAGAATTTCTTCCACAACTTGGCTGTCTTTGCTGAGCCAAACCTCTGGGTTTCATAGGAAATGACCTGAGTATTTTAGTGATCACCACAGCCAAGAGTTCTAGTTCTCCAGCTTCCTCAGATGGTATTTTAAATATGCCTTATAAGTGCATTGGAGCTATAGCAAGGAGTTCAGAAATAGGAGAGACTTGTGTTTGACAACATCTAACTGGACGCTTTTAATGCTATTTTTTTTCAATACTAGTGTTTTAAATCATAGCCTGGCACTTGCTTAGCTTGCTTCTCTGGCACTCGACCGTTTGAGCCAGGCCTCTGGCCTTGCTTTTAGCTAGCTCTTTGGGACGGCGTATTGCAGGCATTTTGTTGGGGCTGGCTCTGAACGGTGACGCTCCAGACCTCAGCCTCCTGAGTAGCTAGGCTTCTAGGTGTAAGAGCAGGAATGAGGAAACACTGGCGATAGTAGACTCCGTTCTAAACCCTGCATGGCGGCTTCCTGGATTAGACAGTGGCCCCAAGTCCTACCTAGGAAGCCCCTCCTCAAATCAAAGTCACAGGGTCACACCTGGGCCTTGAGGTCACCATGATTCGACATGACCTTCCCTGACTGTGCCACGCCAGGAGGGCCAGGGAAGACTCCGCGCCGGCGCCAGCATCACTGTCTTTTCTAAAGTCTAGGACAGAGTCCCCATGCCCCACCGTCCACAGCACTCACACGGCGTGGGGTCGGCCTCTGCCCTGTACCACCCGAGTGTGGACGGCAGCACTCGAGGCCCGCAGAGGGCCCGGCCTGGACTTCCTGCCTCCCACTGCCAAGTCGTGCACATTAGCTTTGCTGTTGAACCGCGTTCTGCTCCCTTGTTTCCCTGTACTGGGGGCTGTGTCCTAGGCTTAGGCCTTGTATCCACAGAACCAAGAAATATCTGGAAGAACACCTGGGACCCCAGCTACCCACAGTCATGCTTACGTATGTCACGTTGGATTGTTTGGAATATGAGACCTGGATTAAAAGAGGGAAGAGGCTGTGCTTAGGAAGATAAACCAGGGGGGAGAGAGGGAGGGAGGGAGGGAGGAGGAGAGGGAGGGAGGGAGGGAGAATCTTGTAGCAGAACCAGTCACTGTCCTCTCTTTTGGTTTAACTTCCCCGCAGCAAACCAACACAGGGTTTCACCAGTGGGGCTTGACTCTGAAGTTGTATACACACTGCATGAACTTCCAGAGGCTGTGGAGGGGGCCTGTGTGGGTGCGTGGGGGACGGGGGAGGGGAGTCAGGGCATGTGAGCCGGGAGTCCTCACCTCTTTCCCTCGGAGGCCAGTTCCCAGCAAGTACGCCCCACTGTCCTCCTGGTAGCGGATCTGGATATTGTACACCTTGTCTTTGTAAAGCACCATGAGCACGTACGGGTTGGTGGCTGTTTTTCTAGAGCTGTCTCTAACCAGAAAAGTGCCGTCCTAAAAGAACAAACGTGTGTCATGGAGGAAGCGGTGGAGAAAGTCAACACTGTGGCCCACAGCCCTGGGAACCTGCACAGCCTGCCACGGGGTCAGCTAACGCCGGCCCCAGGAGTGACAGCCCCGGGACCTCGGCACGCATCGTTATCAAGAAAGGCGGCAGCGATCTGATCAAAGGGCGTTCCCAGTCGGCCTCCTCCAAGGCTCTTGACAAAAATAAAGCATCCTTTTTTCCGCATTAATAAAACAGTAACCAGTGGTTGAGTGGGTAAAGGGCCGGGAGGAGTAATGACTTCGGTGGTGAAGGACCACCTTCTCACTCTGGTGAGCTGATTCCCCGGCCCTTCCTCTCCACCCCCACGGTCGGAAGACGCCCATCTACCTACAAATGCACCCCGTTTGCACCCCTCCAACGCTCAGCATGTCATGCAGATGGCACATCAGCAAACCTGAAAGCAGACAAGTCCTGCCCCTTCTCCTGACACAACACTGGTGCCACGGCCCGTCGGTCACTGTGGTGTGAGAATGCACCATGCCGGTTAGATCACGCCCTCCGCGTGTACTGACCCATGATGGCCTGCCTTTATTCCTCTCACGCCACATTAAGGGGCCAGTCAGAGCCCCCCTCCATCGCCAAGGACATGCAGAACATCAAAAGCAAGCTGCCACACGTACCTGGTTTATCTTCCTAAGCGCAGCCTCTGCCTCTGGCCGGGTGATATAAGAAACGTACCACTCTTCCTCTAAGGAATTCTGCAAGTGGAAAGTTCTAGAATGAAGAACTAATGGACATTTAATTTTGTTCAGTTTCTTCTTGAAATGAAGACAACTCTTTGTAAATGTCCTAGAGAAATACTGTAGCTTTCTGTTCAGCCTTTTTAAGTAAAAAGGATGGATCGTTCCATTAAAAAAAAAATAGAATGAAGAACTTCAGCCCTTCCCAGGTTAAGAGAAACGAGAGCCCCCGAGAGGTTATTTCCACCAGTGTTCACCGCAGCCCCATGAGGCTTGACACATGTGTGCTCTTAAACTTGAATAAAGAGTCACTGGAATGAAGCAGGTGGCTCACACCTGTAACCCTAACTACTCAGGAGGCTGAGACCTGAGTCTGAGAATCACGGTGTGAAGCCAGCGGGGGCAGGAAAGTCCATGAAATTAACCACCAGAAAACCAGAAGCGGTGCTATGATTCAACGTGGTAGAGTGCTAGCCTTGGGCACAAAAGGACACAGGGACAGTGCCCAAGTCCTGAGTTCAAGCCCCACAACCACCAAAAAAAAAAAGTCACCGGGGCAAACAGGAGTGTCTGTAAGCACCGCAGAGTCTGCTGACCCAGGTGGCCGGGAACAAGGCCGGGGGACCCCGGGGACGGGAACTTCCTCAGCCTGTGCACCGCATCCACGCGCAAAACGTTCAGTCAGCTCATTGAGCAATTCAGAGACTCAGCTAAGGTCAGAGACGAGGAAGCAGATGAAAAACAGGATTCTTTTCTCATTGCTTTCCTCAGAGCACACACTTGCCCCTGGGAGTCTGGGTGAGCACGCAAGGAAAAGAACTTCTTTTCTTTGGTCTGGCTCCTCTGTTGTTGGTCTGTCTGCGGGGCTGGGACCTGACCCAAGCCTCACTCCCGCCAGGCCAGACTCCACCCTGAGCTCAGCCACCGCCTCGCTCTTTCCAAACCAAGGGACGGTGAAGGCTGTGTGGCTCCTCACCTCTGCTCCAGGGGACAGCGGCTGCGGCTTGCTGGGGACCGGCAAGGAGAAGTTTCTCCCTTCTGCTCGGGGAGGGGGTCTGTTGCTAAGCCCTTAAGGAACACATGGCAGAAAGTCATGCACTGCTTTAATTAGTGCACCGCATTAATTAGTGTACTGCGAGTTCGAGTTTACTTTTCTCATAACACGCCTCCCCACCCTCCTATGCCCTTCTAGCTGTTTCCATAACTAACATTTCAGGAAAACAGGGCTTTGAAAATCATTTCCCCTGTTCCCAAACCCAAAGGCCGCTCAGGAGCTACTGTGCAATCATGTCCACGAAGCTTCCAGAACAGAGCCTCATGCGTATGATGGCCTAGCTGGCCGGCTGTCTACTGTAAATATCCTAGGTGTGCTTGTATGTACTGGAAGCTGGGAACATCCACCTGAGAGCACGTGACCGTTGCTTTAACGTCCTGTCACTGAGAACATTCTAGATGGTCTTTCACAGACATCCTGTTGCATTCTCCACTGCGAGGTGGTGCCTGGTGGTGATCGTCTTCATGAAAAGACATGGAAGCCGGACCGACCGGCACAGTTCCACACCCTTGCCGGCTGCCCGCTGTGTCTGCTGAGTTTCCCATGCGCTCCTCTAACAAGGGCGGGGGAGGGGAGGGCAGTGTGGGGAGCGCGTGCACCCCACGTTCTTTAAGGCCCTCTTTGCCCCGTCCCCAGAACCTTCCGGGAAGACGTTTCCTCCTCTCGGGAAGGTTCGATTGTGCTGACGTCAGGTGTGAGAACCGCTGTATACCACTGAAGGATTCCCTTAGCTAGAATGTTCCGTTCATTCCTCAGTCTCCATTCACTCCCTCGCTCTCTCATTCGAGTCTCAAGTAACGTACTCGGTGTGCTTTACTTTCCACCCTCCGGTGACGTGGCCTCTGGGTTTTCATCTGTTCTGCACTGAAGGACCGAGAACACCACAGCCATAGGGCCGTAGAAGGTCCTAGAACACCACGGCCACAGAGGTCACACCCATCACCGGCTGGTCCTGCAGAAGCAGCCCCGGGGGACCAGGTACCCACCTTGGGAGAGGTATGACGGCAGGGAGGCGCTGTGCGGGAAGCTGCTGCTGTGGGCGGGAGGGCGGGATGTCAGGTTGGGCTGGGGCCGGAACCCCCAGCGCTGGCAGACTGCATCCAAGAGGGAGGGACCCCGCCACCATCTCCTGTCTGCTGTTTCCTCCCGGGGCCCCAACCCATCGGTTATGCTTGAAAAATGTCACCCAGTTTGGGCCGATGGGTGGGTGCTCTGGGCTAGCGGGGGGCGGGGGGACAGGGAGCAACTTCCCTCCGTGTTCCCTCCCTTCTTCTCATTCTCTCCCCTCTTCCCTCCTTCCCACCTCCTGTGGTACAGAACCGAGGGCCTCACACAAGCTAGGTGTGTGTGCACTCCCCCTGTGAGCCTGCCCCGCGGGTTCATTTCTGTTGTGTCCTGAGTTAGGATCGTGCCAGGTTTGCACAGGGCTGGCCTCCATCTGAGATGTGGTCCTCCCGCAGCTGCCTGCCCCTCCTGGCCTCTCTCTCTTTCCCCTTGTGCACCCTGCCCTGTGGTACGCAGACAGTCGGGGCCTGGGTGTCACTGTGCAGCAGCACGCCCAGTCCTGTTCAACAAAAGAGAAATCCACCCCCCAGAGGACTTCTGCCAGTTTCCAAACTCAGAACCCTCAAACCGCAGCCGATGTGTAAAAGTAACTTTAACCGAGTTCACATGGCTTCCGGAGACAGCCGCACACCTTTCGTTGAAGGGTCCGGGGCTGTGGGACGCAGGGAGCGGGGGCTTGGGACTTGGCTTGGCGGGCCTTGAGTGGAAAGTGCTGGAACTCAGTGGGAGTGGCGCCGGCTGAGGCAGAGGTCTCTTATGTACTAGGAGGGGAGAAGATAAAGATTGGGGAGATGGTCAGAATCCAGGATCCGGGGAGCCTGCAGGGCTGCTGGCAGGCTGTTTGCTCTATGAAAGGCAAATCCCCAAGCTGGCTCATTCACCCCACACTGTCGGCTCTATTCCGCTTCGCCTTAGAAGCCATGCATACTGCAAAACAGCTCCATCAAACCCTGCATGGCATTTAAATGTTGCCACCCCAAATCCGCACTGTTCTAATGACTAACAACTAACTCTCTTTGTTAAACCAGCCACAGAATCCCACTTTACTTCACTGTGCAGTGACAGAATAGACGCAGGTGTGCGTCTGTGAGTGTAATGGCTCTAACTGGTCCTGTAACTTCCCAGCTAAAGGACTCCATTCGCATGCCTGACTAGAAAACAAGAGGATGAGACAGAAGTTGTAAGAAAGATGTTGTAAACCTACCGTCATCTTCATCCTGGTAAGAGGAAGAAGAGAGAGAGAGAGAGAGAGAGAGAGGGAGAAGAAGATGTTAGCTTGTTGTCCAAACACAGTTCCTGGAAGGGTCAATACATTTCTCAATCACAGAAACAAGGCTGGCTCTTTGTTCCTAGCTATGGTGCACCACAATAAGTATATCACAAGCATCTCAGAGCTTGATGAGTGGTTTATGATTTTCTAATAGAAACAATAACCTGAGGATGCTCCCATCGGAGATCCTCAAAGCTATCATAATATTTACAGTGTGAATAATCTTCCCCCACAGATTCACACATGGTATTTCTCTCTGTTCCCTGGAAGTCCTTAGCAATGTAGTGCCCTCGCTTTACAGGTGGAGGCCTGCTGGGGGGAAGGGCTCCTGCCCTGCCACCCTCCGGGGAAGCCCGGCCTTCCGTCCGGCTCTCCGGCCAGATCCATTCCTCTTAAAAGCAGCAAGCTCTCATTCATGTATAGTGCACGTGGCCTACAGCCACGTGGATTACCTTTCACGGCCACCCTACTGACTGTTTCTTTATCCCCTCAGGTAAGAAGTGAGGCTCAGAAGCACATTGGCCTTTGGCCAGGAGACTAAAAGGGCCAATCGGGGGTTGTTTGTGCAGCCATCCGGGCAGGGGTGCAGCAACACCTTCCTCTACGTGTTCTGATTCTCGCTATGTGTTCTGATTCTCGCGCCTGGCAACCGTAAGTGCTGCTTAAGGCAGGTTTCGCATCCCTGGTCCTCGGGCCTCCGTCGGGCCCCCCAGCCCCACAGCCGTGGAGTCTGGCCGAACTCAGTCCAGGAGAACTCAGACCTGGATTCGGACTCAGACTGCTTTTTAGTGCCTGGGACAGTTAGAGTATCTTACCTTTCTGAGCCTCAGTTTCCCTCCCATTGAAAGGGAAAAGATGATTCTTTATGCAAAGCACAGGAGCACAAGAGAGGCTCAAGCCCTGCCCCTCCTGGAGCCCGTGTGGTTTCTGGGATGTGGAATGTTCCATCCCAAATCCAATAATGCTATGCCCCTTCCTTGGGTGCAGAGTGGACACAGAGGCCTGGCCCACTTGGGTGAGGCCCGGCCCCAGGGCACTCTCCCCCTCCCCCCCCCCCCCCCCCCCCGTCCCCTTCCCACCCCCATCCCCCGCAACCTCTCCCTTCACCTTGCTAATTACTCCTTTGGAGTAATGGCTCAGCCACCTGGGGGCTCTCTGAGGAACAGGAGTTAGCTAGAACAGCGTGGTGGGGTCCGGGGAGCACTGAGACCCCAAACACGAGGCACCCGGATTCAAGGACCCACCGTGGACTAGGGGCATGGCTCCAGACCCGCCAGCGCTTGCCCAGCAAGCACCAGGCCCTGGGTTCAATCCCCAGGAGTCTTGTTCCAGGAGATGGACCACGACAGACACCGTCCTCATCTCCACAGACCCCGGCCCTGGCTTCCCCCGGGCCGGGCGTTTCCAACATGACATTTCCTACTTACATTCTCTCTTCTCTCCGGTACCCATCCGTGCCTGGAATGAATTGGAGCAGAGAAAAAGAAGTGTGTGTCAGGAGCTGGCCTGAGAATGTATTGTCACCAAACTGCACCCAGAGAAGTCAAGTCCAGAGAGAAGGCTGAGTCCCCAGAAAGGCTGAGAATGGAGGAACGGGGTGGGGGGGGGCACGGCCACCCGTGTGCTCTGCCGTCTCTGTACGCGGAGCTCCACAAACCCTCGCCTGTGGCCACTGTCCCCTTTAGTCGCTGTTAATTATAATGGAGGAGATGTTTCTGCACGCAAGTGGAGCTTTGCGGCAATACTCGCTGTGGGTGGTTAGGACCAGTCTGGTGGCCCCATCTTTGTGCGAGAGAAGGCAGAGGGAGAAGGCCACTCCCGGGAGAGGCCTGAGGCGTGGTCCCTGATCCCGGAGCCAGCCCTGCGGGCCGGCGGCAGCGGGGTGCTGAGGGCCTCCGCCCTGCCCCAGCGGCTCCCTGCGATTGGAGGGGAGGAAGAGGAGAGTTGGCCGAGCCCCTTCTAGCTTCGTCCAGCATGGACGGTGTGGGCTGAGCTCCGCTGGGTGGTTTTGCACTGGGATGCACTGGGGCTCTCTCCGCTCCCCGCTCTGGTCTTCCTCTGAGCCCCATCCCAACCAAGCAGGGTCACCATCCCTGGCAGTCTCCCTCCCAGCTGGTGAGTCTGCCGGGCGCCCAGGGCGGTGGTCCTGCCTGCTTTACTTTCTGGCCGATCGCAGCGGCCTGCAGTTACGGACAGTGGGTGTGTGGTTCGTTAAGTGCGGCCCTGGTGCTGACCCCAAATCTTCCTCCCCTGCCCTGTCTGCTCGCTGCACTGAGTGCACACGCAGTGCACCTTGGGACTTCGCTCTGGCAATGCAGGAAAAGTCCAACAACTTCTTCCAGAAGTCCCCAAATCCAACCTTCTACCCTCTCCCCTTCCTTCCCTCCTTCCCTCTCTCCTTCCTCCCCTCCTCTCCTTTCATCCCCTCCCTTCTTCTCCTCTCTTTCCAGATGAGGATGAACCCCCTCCCCTCACCCCTGCTAGGCTCCCACTTTCCTCAGAGACCCTGGCACTTCCCAGTTAATCTGCAATGCCGGGACATTCCGGAAGCACAGCCACAGAGACCCTCTGCCAGGCAGGGCCAGGCGGGGTGGGGCCGGCGTGCCCAGCGATGGAGTGGCAAGCTAAGAACAACAGACAGGTACTTGGGCACTGGCGGCTTCCTCCCGGCCAGGGGCACGGCTCGCTCCGGCACCTTCTGAATCTTGGGCAGATGCTCCCCGGGCACCCTGAGGGTGGAGACAAGATGTGTGAGGATGAACTGAGCTGTGGAGAAGAGTTCTAGAGAAAGTGCCGCGGCCTCCTGTTACACACACACACACACACACACACACACACACACACACACACACACACACACACCACCTACCTTCCTCCTGCCAGGGCCGCGGGCTGCAAGACAGCAAGGTGAGGGACTGGTGAGGGAAGGACAAGACACAAGACAAACACCCCAGACCACCCCCCGCCCAGGCCCACAAGCTGCTTACCTTGTCAGCAAAGGCTGGCTTCTTCCCTGTGAGGACAGACAGCGGGTCTGAGCGTAGGCCTCGAGGACCCCGAGCCTGGCCCTCCGGAGTGGGAGCAGCGAGGGGCTCGGCGAGGTCCCGTCCAGAGCTCAAAGGCATTCAGAGGACCAACGCCCCTGGGAATGTCCGTCTCTAACTGGACATAACTGCAGCCCCTCTCCATACCAGAAGCCTCGAGCTACAGGGCGGGGGAGACTCCGTTTCTGAGCAACCTTTGACCTTGGGGCTAACGGCGGTGGGCTGTGCACCAGGCTTGATGGGCGCGGTGTGTCTCGCTGTGCGTGTGCTCTACTTTTCTCCAAGCACAGGTGACGCAGGCTCCGTGCCACCAGGTGTAGCTGAGACGCTGCACGGCTAAGCTGTCTGAGCTGATTTGGCTTTCACCGCACCGGGGAGCACTGGGGCGCTTGCAGATATCGGGGGTAGGTCCTGCTCCTCCGCTCCCTGACCCCAACACTCAGAAACTTCCTGCCACCTGGACGCATTGCTCCCCTCTCTGCCTGTGTTCCCTCTGCATGCCAGGGGCTCGTGTTAAAATAAGCATCACCAGCAGAGTTCATTCCTAGCTGAGCTGGTCACCGGTGGCTCACGCCTGTCGTCCTAGCTACTCAGGAAGCTGAGATCTGAGGATCTCAGTTCAAAGGCAACCTGGACAGAAAAGTCCTCCTGAGACTCTTATCTCCGACTAACCACCCAAAATCCAGAAGGGACACTGGCTCAAAGTGGTAGAGCTCTAGCCTTGAGCAAAAGAGCTCACAGAGAGCACCCAGGCCCTGAGTTCAAGCCCCTCTTCCCCCCCCCAAAAAAGAGTTTATTCTTCCAAAATGCCTCAGACCAGGATATCATTCAAGGGTTGAACAGAGATGTCACCTTTACGTCATAAACGTGGCCCAGGATTACTCTGCACCCCTCCCAAGTCATACCTGGCATGAAGGTCTCCCTGTCCGGCAGGGCCAGCGAGCGGTCCAGGGGTGGCTTCGTGCTCCTGTCTATGGACGGGGCTGGCACTGGAGGGGAGAGGGCGGGGGGTCACTTCAAAGAAGAGAGCAGCTGGCTGGGGACAGGCAGGCGGCTGCTGGGCAGGGAAGGAGCAGCCCCGAGCTTACGAGCTTACGTTTGGTCGGCTTGTGGTTTTGTCCCCGGGTAGGTTCTTCATGGTTGGCCTGGGGCATGGGGAGGGGCTGGAGAAAGGCAGAACCAAATGATCTTGAGCATGGCCGGGCCTCCACAGGGCCGGGGCCTCCACAGGGCCCGGTGGCGTTAGCTGAGCCGGGACGCTGGCATCCCACCTGCACCTCCGCTCCCCAGGGGCCGCGGCACAGCCTCTCCTCCCGCTCTGTCTGCAGGGCTGCGCTGAGCACCGGGCCGCCCTGCTGAGCCCTCCAGGACTCCGGTCACATGAAGAGAACACCACGACCCGCGCGGCCCTGCCTGAGCCGGGCTGCCCACCCTCCGGCCCTCGACGGCCTCCTCGGGCCTCTTCCCCTTCTTGGAACACCTCCTGCTCTCTGGGGCGTGGCTGTCCTTGGGTCTCCCTCGGTCTCTGCTCTCTCCATGACTGTCCCCATTCTATTCCAGCCCAACCCCACCTCCCGCCATGGCCCTGGTCCTCTGACCCGCCCCCCGCACCCTCCCCCCCCGCTCCCCGAGACAGGCATGACTGGTCAACTCACGGCTGTGTCCATTTACTTAGTATCACCAACCCCGCCCCCATCCCTCAATCCCAAAACGCCCTTCCTCTGGCCCCTTGACAGCGCTTGGCACTCCGTGGACATGAGCTGAGGGACTGGGGGACTCTGCCCGTGTGTCAGCAGATGGCTTCGTGGATACACTCAGCTTCGGAGCCTCCCTCAGCCAGAGCTGCACAAGCAAGAGCAGCGGTCCCCTGCGCGCCCTCACTCCTCCCCTCTGCCTGCCCAGGGCTGCGGCAGCCGTGGGCGCTGGCCAGCAGGTGGCGCCACGCTCGCTGCCAGAGGGCGGTAGCTCCGAGGTGCCAGCTTCCGTTCGGTTCTCCCAGAGTTTGCTCTGTGTAGGAGAAGATGGTACTACGAGGAATACTGGGAAGGGGTTGTTTTTACACCGCATTGGAATTGTTGATGGTGCAAAGAAAATACCAAGAAGTGGTGCGATGCACAGGAAGTACGGGTGACTGGGCCCGGTGCACGATCCCAGCCTTTTGCCAAATTGGAATTGGGGAGCGATACTCCACGCTCTCTTCCTACAGTGGAAGAAGTGGCCGGGGCGGGCGGGAGGCACCTACCATGTGACCCCGGCTGGCGGGAGGTGGAGGGGGGGCGGCTGTCGACCTCTGGGGCAGTGCGGGGGGCTGCTGGGGGGCCTTCCCGGCGGGGGGGCGGTCTGTAGAAACACAAACACATCACTGGGAGAGGGCGCCAGCGTCGGCACCGGCTGGCCAACTTCACGGGTCTGGGAAGACAGGTGCTGTGCTCAACTCTGTGGTGCCTGGGGACCCCCAGCTCCCCCCACCGCCCGGCCATCGTGAGCCCAGCGGGGACACTTGGCCTGCCCCTTCCTTCACACCGAGCTCGCTCACTCTCTGTGTGCACAGCACACAGGGCCTCTCGTGTCTCCAGGAGGGCACTATCAGAGACCAAGGCCAGGAGTTCAGCCATGGCAGGGAGGACTCTCACACAGGGCTGGAAGGAATGAACCCGTGTGTGCTTCTATACACACACACACACACACACACACACACACACATGCACGCACATGCACACATGCACACGTGCACACACATGCCCACGTGCACATGCACGCACACATGTGCGTGCACACACGCACACAGATGCACGAGTGCACACACGCACACAGATGCACACATGCACACACGCACACGCATGCACACACGCACACATGCATGAGTGCACACATTTGCACGTGCATGCACACACATGCATGCATGTGCGCACACGCACACACATGTATGCACACATGTGTGCACACACACACACATAACCATCCAGGCCAGCACACCACCAAGTCAGTGCTCCTGCCCGCCTGGTCCGCCTCCCCGCTTTGCTCATCTCTTCCTTAAAGCAGGAGCTGGTTGTGACCAGGTGGCGTGCAGGACTGCGCTGGACTTGGGGATGTCCAGTATCTGGAGTGCTCAGCACCGACCCTGGGCCGCTGAGGCGGGGACCAGCCTCTGGCAGGGAGAGGCCGGGACAAGACCAGGAGGAGGGAGAGCCGCAGCCAGCAGCTCCCGCCTGGCCCCAGCGCCAGCCCCACGGCGGTCCTGGTCCTCCAGGGAGCTCATGTGGCACCCACCATGGAGGGGGGTGGGGGCCAGCGGAGAGGGGAGGCTGGTGGGGAGGACAGAAGGAGGCATGGGGGAGGGAGGAGGGAAGGGAGGGAGAAGGCAGGGAGGATGGGGGAGGGAGGAAGGATGGGGGTGGGGACTGGGGCGGGGGCCGGGCGAGGCTGGGGGGGAGGATGGGGGATGGGGGCCGGTGTGGGGGCCAGGCGAGGCTGGGGGGTGGGGGCCGGGCCAGGCACCACCAGGCGCTCACCGATGTACATGGAGCCCGAGCTGGCCAGGGGCGGGGCGGGCAGGATGGGGGGAGGATGGGGGTTGGGGGCCGGACCGGGCACCGCCAGGCGCTCACCGATGTACATGGAGCCCGAGCTGGCCAGGGGCGGGGCGGGCAGGATGGCGCCCTGCAGGGCCCCCTCGTCGTGGGAGGGTGGGGGCTCGTAGTCCGCCTCGTCGGCAGGCACCTCCTCCGCCTCCGTCGGGGACTCGTAGTCGCCCTGGTCCCCGTCCTCCTCGTCGCCCTCGTCGGGGCTCTCGTAGTCATCTTCCTGCAGCAAGAGCGGGGCTGGAGGGGTGGGGCTGCGACCCCCGTGACCCCATGGCCGCGAGCCCACGTGACCCCCATGGACACGACCCACATGACCCCATGGACACGTACACATGTGACCCCATGGATGTGACCCCGTGTAACCCCATGGACATGAGCCCATGTAACCCCATGGACGTGACCCCGTGTAACCCCATGGACGTGACCCCGTGTAACCCCATGGACGTGGCCCCTGTGCCCGTGTCCCCCTCCACCCAGGTGCGCTCAGTCCTAAGTTAACACGGTCTGAGGCTCTGGCGCACCAGGGTGATGCTATTCGTGGCCACCGCTGCTATAGTAATAAAGATCTCCTCTCTGTAACAACGGCGGTGCTGAGGAAACTGGGGGAAGCTGGCCAGGGGACACGGAGCACTGGGAATGACGCGTGTGTGCTTGCTAGGGAGCTCGAGCCCTGGGTCTGCACCAGCCCGAGAGCACAGAGCCAGGGGAGTGCGTCTGGGAGGAGCCCAGCCATACTCACGAAAGACGACCAGCCGCCATCCTCCTCCTCCTGGCTCTCTGTGGGAGGGGAAGCACGGGTATCAGCACCCACCTTCAAGGGCCGGGTGGTGTCCCTCGAAGGAAGCCGCGGCAGCCCACCCAGCACGGGCAGGACAGCGTGAGCGGACGGCACAAGAGTTGTTTCTGGGGCCGGGGTGGATCCGTGGCTTTCTGCGGAGACTCGGCCAGGTCTCCAGGACGGACGTGGGTCTCGGGGCCTGGACCAGCGCGTGTGCAGGCGAGCTGTAGGAAGTGAGCATCCTGGCGGGGCCCCTGGCCACGCTCACACCTGTTCCCATGCGGTGTCACTGCCATGCCAGGCCACGTGTGGTATGAGAGCTCTCCGCACCACGCACCGGGTCTCAGGACCTGAACCACCGCAAAGCCTCGGGGCTTTGTCACCGCAGCGGAACCCAGACCACGGACCATCCGTATGCCGCTGCCGACCTAGAACTCCTGACCCAGGATCCATCCCACCGAGGGCAGCGGCCTCCTTAATCTTCCCTTGTACAGGTGCTTAAGACACGCAGGGGACTGGACTCGGTGCCTCCGGCTTCCCCTCAGCAGAACTGGACAGGGCGCGGCGGGTACCCCCCAGTGCCAGGCAGCATTGAACACTGGAAAGCCGCCCGGGGGTCCCCGAGGCACGGGCCGGCCCAGTCACGGCTGGCTGTCCTTCCAAGTTCCCCACAGCCCCCCAGTCCTCCCCAGGTCTGCGACTCTCCTGCTCTCACTGGAGAGAGCAGGCAAGCGAGTGGGGCCATCCGCATGACGCCCAGGGAGACAGACAGACAGACAGATGCCCAGGAAGCAGACAGAAGACCCGAGGAACCCAGTGCCTTCTAAAGCAATCGCCTCTCAGCCCGACACCTTACCTCTCTCTTCAGGAAACCGCTGGACCTGGGGTCTGCCAAGGCAAAGAGCATTGTGTAAGTGGTACTGAGTTAATGGTACCTCGTGGATTGTATTGTCAGTGGTGCTGAGCTGATGGTACTTGTGTTGATGGTACTGAGTTAGTAGCACTGTGTTGATGGTGCTGTGCTCATAGTACTGAGTTAATGGGACTGAGTTGGTGGCTGATGGTACTGAGTTACTAGCACAGAGCTCATGGTGCTGTGTTGATAGTACTAAGTTAATGGTATACTAAGGTAATGGTGCTGAGTTAGTGGTACTGTGTCGATGGCCGGTTGGTTTAAGATCACGCTCGTTCCTCAGCCCCGCTCTGGCAGAGGACTCCCCAGCAGAAGGGATGGCTTGCGCCCTGGTTGCCTGGCAACCAGAGCACAGTGGCCCCTAATACTGGAAGCCACACTGGTGGCTCATGGTAGCACGTGGACGCCCGCCGTTGGTTCTAGGGGACGTTCATCCTCCTGGTGTCCGACCCTGGGCCACCCTGGGCCACCCTGGGCCACCCTGGGCCACCCTGGGCCACCC